AAATATGATTGTTTTGTTGGTTCTTGTGTTTGATGAAGGATATTTTTTGGTCATAAAAAAAAGTTCGAGATTAGAAGTACAGTATAATAGTTTATTTAGAGAGAGAATAAAGAGAAGGAGCAAAAAGGTAGTATGTCGTTTGTCGGTAAATTAATGTTGTTGTTGTTTGGTAGTTTGTAAGGAGTTGATTGGATAGTTTTTTTTAAAGGAATGTAAAGTTTGTAAGTTTTCAGAAGTAGAAATGTCTAACTAGATTAGATCTGTAAATGGGGTGAGGAGAGCGGTTTAAAAGTTTTAATGTTTGTAACAAATATATTTTATGTGAGGATATTATATAGTTTATATACATTGAAGACGTGTTTTGTTGTTAGTAGGTGTACGCGAATTTGATTATTGTGGGTAACCTTCAGTTATTGTTTTGGGCCATGTAGGGTCTTCCTAATGAATCTCGAAGAAAATAATTTTGGTGGTAAATATGATAGTATAGGTAAATATATATAATAATATATAATATACTATTATAATTAGAGCTTTCATATTTTAAGTTTTATATTTACTAAATTTATTTTTTAAAGATATTATATGATTTTTAAGACTATTTGAAATTTTTTATATTTTATTTTATTAAACATTTAATCTTTAGGATATAGATAAAAAAGAGAAAGAGAAATATATTTTTTATTAAAATATTTTTTTTTTGTTTCTATGACATGATTGGATTTTTTTAAAAAAAATAAATTTTCAAATAGAATATATATAATATTTAATTAATATCTCAATTAAAGTTTTTTAATGTGAATATATACTAAAATCAAAAAGTCTTTTAAGGTGAATCTATTAGATATAATAAAAAATCTATTAGATATATAATAATTCTCAAAAGAAAATAGACAATTTATATAAACTAATTTTTATTAATTTTTTATCTTTGAAATTTTAATTTGAATCAATTTAGACAAAAAAATCATAAAATATAAATTTATTAGATATTATTTTTCTTGAATTTAAATAACGAATCAAATATTATTAATTTATTGATTAGAGTAATAAAAGAATAATACAACATTATTTTAAAAATAGCATTAGTAGAGCCTTATATAAGTTTATAATATCAATCTTTAATTTGCTTAAAAAAATTATTATCGATATTTAATAATTAAAAAAAAATTATTATCGATATTTAATAATTAATATTTAATGGATAGTTATTTATTATAAATAGACATAACGTTAAAAATATTATGTATGCACGTGAACGACAAATTTTTAAAATAATTTCCACATTATGAGAGAAGATATATGGCATTTATCGATTAATCAAACCTTAAAAAAAATAAACAATTATGCAAACAAATCAAATTAAAGAAGAAAATTAGCCATAATAATTTTTTTTATAAATAAATCAATGGTACATCAATTTTATATATTATAAAATTAACTTTCAAATTATTTATAATTATGCATTCAAAAAATGCAATGCAAACTCATATTAAGTATTATTTATATAAATTATTAAGTATTATTTATATAAATTAAAAAAAATTAAAATGAATAACTATTTAAATTATAGAAAAAATTTAATTAAAGAATAATAAAAGAGTTAAGTGGGAAGATAATATTGGACATGAGTATAATTAAATAATCATAAAATGATAAAATGGATACAATACTATTATCGCAGGAATTTAATCAGAGAATAATATAAGGATTAAAAAAATTACAGAATTTTGTTAAAAAAAATTGTAGAATTTAATTAATTATGTATGTATTTTATGTATGTATTTTAATTTAATTTAATTAATTATGTATGTATTTTAATATTTATAGTTATAGATATTTTACATTATTTTATTGCTCTTACTCTTATAACTTAAATATATTTAGATAATTTCTATACTGTAACATTATGTACACAACACCTGTCACGAAAGCCTTGCAAATTAATTTAGCAGTCTGGATCTCTTTTTACCAATAAACTATTACCGCCAACTATGCCAAATTACTGTTACTGTAATAACTTTTCACGCTATGATTAATGATATTAGTATTCTAAGGGCAGAAATGTGAAAACACTATACTTTCAGATAGCTGTATTTATTTCTGCAAACATCATGTCGTACAGTTCAATAATTTTCTGATATGCGCAAGCTTATCCGGTTGTTACTCTTCTTTTTCAATAATTCAATCAACAAACAAAGCATTTTAAAGGGTGGAGAAACTTTCGGGGTCATTTTAGTTTTAATAATGATTGAACAATCCAAATGTTGACCCCTTACTTACAATTTGAATACGTGAAATACATAATTTAATTTTTAAATTAACAAAAAAAAAAAGTAATATTATGATACTAGGATCGATCGTGACATTTTAAATTTTATTCTTTTTAACAAGTCATGTCTCCTTACATTAAAAATAATAATATTTAAAATTTTTAATTTTTATATTTTTTTAATTTAAATTTTTAATTTTTATATATAAAATATTAGTTCTTTTCAAATAATAATTTTTAGAATTTTAACTATTTAATATATGTTTTAATTAATATAATTTTATAAATTAAAGTGTTCGACTGAAACCCCCTTAATTTTTATTTTCGAAACTTTTGAATTATTATTAAATCAAAAATCTGAATTTTTGATTGTCCGGACTGCAAATACTGTTTAATTCTAATTCGAGCTCAAGCCCAAAATATATTATTAAATATTTGCCAAGTGGAGAACCTTTAGAAATTTTTAAGAGTAAATATGGAGCACTAATTATTAAATTATTAAAAATATATATATGTATATGTGTGTGATTACTATATACTATATAATTAATTATTCTAAAAATCTGAAAAATATATATTATTATTATATTATGACTATTTAAGTGAATTGAGGACAATGTTTCCTAAACCTAACTAAAATAAATCAAATCGGATTAGAAAACCAAGCTAATCGAGCCGAATCATTGAATTGGACCAAATCGATTCGAATCGAACCGGAATAGTCTAGAAACCCGAAAATTTCTTTTCTTCTTCTTTTTCCTTCTTCTCCAGCGCCGACCTCACTCTTGCCTTCTCCTTTCCTCTCCTTCCCTCTAGTTCTGGTCACCTGAGAGAGCGAAGCCATCATCTTCTCGTCGCCGAGCCATGACCTCCCATCTCGCCTTCCTCCGTTTCTGCTCTCGGTGGACGCAGTAGAGAAAAGCTGTGATGGCAGCTTGCGATCGTCGCTCTTCACATGCTCTGCCACCGACTGCCTCGCTCAGTTTGTGTCCCCTCTCTGCCAGCGATTCCGGCGACTGCTGCTGCGCAGGCAAACTGCGGTTCCTGCGTTTCGAGGGACAGCGCCATTGACACGCATAAGGCTACCGTTGAGCCCATTTCGGCCAGCTAGGGGGCAGATCTCATGCAACTGACGCCATAATTGAACTCCTGATGGAAAATCGAGTCTGATGGTATAGGAATCACTCGATTCCGGTGAAGTTTGACATTTCGGCCGGCAGCGGTGGTCCGGCGACTGGCCGGCGACACTCCGGTGAGGCCCCAATAGACAGAATGAGCCCCTTTTTGCGCGGATCGTGGAATTGTAGTCCGATTCCCAATCGGTATGTCCTAAGACCTATTCTCTCATTTTCAGCATAAATTCCAAATCTAAAATTTATAGTTGAATAAATTGAATTCTAACAAATAATTATATAGTTGAATAAATTGAATTCTAACAAATATTGAGTAAATTGAATTCTAGACAAATAATAGCTAGATAGTAGATTCTTGTTAAGAATTAGTTTAGTGGCATTTTGTTAGAAGCCAATTTATTTTGAACAATGCCTATAAATACATCTTCCATGAACTATTAGTTATAAATTAGAAGAATTAGTTTGGCTGAAATGGGAAATTCTTAGCTTAATGTTTTTTTGTCGTTAAGCTAGGAATTTGTTAAAATATTATTAGGGAAAATTAAAATCTAAAGGCTATTAGACTTATTAAATTTGTTGGTCACCTGGAGGTTATTAAGTGCATATAATGGTGTGTGTGTGTGTGTGTGATGGATGAGTAGCCTAAAGCGAATGGGTTGGTCCGAATCGACCTGCCGTTGAATGGGCTGTGTGAATTGTGCAAGTAACTCGAATGAGTTTGAGTAAATATGGGTTCTGGAGGACGGGATGTTGTTGTTGTGAGTTGCCGAGCGGATTTGGGCTGTGTGTAATTGATTGATAAATATATAATATATTGTGGTATTAAACAAGTAGATAGTTCCCATATTTTAAGGGAGGTTTCTGCCGAAATTTCAATAGAACATAATAAATATAGCTTATTTAAGATAAAGTTCTATAATTTGATATATAATAAATAAAGTGCTCTAATTATTGTATTTATTTATCATTATATCATTTAAGTTATTCATTAATCTGATTTATTTTCATTATTATTGTTTATTTATTATTTATTATTTTAATTAAATTGTTGTTTATTGTTAAACTAATTTACTTATTTATTTGCATTTGATTTTGGATGTCTAATTGTGCATTGCATTACGATGTGTTAAATTTGATTAAATATGCTTGCATTTAAATTGCAATACTTGATAATTGTGTTGTGGATATTGCTTGTGCTTTGTTTGTGTGGAATTGGGCTGAAAGTGAGTCAGTCATGGGTTGTGGAGGACGGTCGATAAAGCATGGATCCTGATTATGATGAATTATGAAATTGGACCCGGTCGTGGCCGGGGAAAATGGGAGGTTCGGCGCCCCAGTGTGCACGCTGATACCATGGATTTAATATAGAAACCACAGGATTGAACCTCTCGTCGTTGCGCAACCTCTGATAAGTGCCTCATCCTAGATTTGATCGCAACCGCAGGGTGTGCCTCCTGTTGTGAGCGAAATGATGATCTAGATTGGATGGATAAACCACCGGGTTGCCTCTGTGGTATGGAAAAGAAAAGTAAGGAAATGTAAAAAACAAGAGAGACTGGTCCGTGTGAGGATTAGAGCCGGTCGGCCAGGTATGGGGAATTGCATCCCTGCTTGCACAAATCGTTTGAGGGAATGGGCCAGGTTGAGAGTACGGCTCGTCGGGGTTTTCGGTGACGCCACTTGACCAATTTCCAACGGTGATTGTTGGATTAATGTGGAAGATCGTTAATAATTGTGAGTGCTGGTCGATGTATCCATTTGTGTGACTGCTGTGTGAGCCATAAACTAGTCGGCATGTACTAGATTGATATATTTATACATTGGTTGTGAATGCGTGTGTCTGTGGAAGATAAGTTTACTTCTTAGAAGGCTCAACCATATCAGTGTTTAATTTTTCAAGGAAGTAAGTTTCTCTTTAATTCGGTTAGTTATGTTCCTTCGCGCAAGGCTAGAAGAAAATTTCAGTTCCATAATTAATTTTACTAATGTACATTATATTATAAAGCTATGTATACAAATAGTTAGTGACTCGCAGTTGTAAGAATTTTTGCATACAATTACGTCACAATTAGTCGTGTATTAACATAGATGATATAATTATGTGAGCCCATATTAAAAATGTGATGTATTGTTAATTGGGTCCGAACTGTGGAATGTTGTACCTGATAAATTTGGGCTGAGATTTAATAAAATCTTGAGGTTTAATTTCTTATAAATATGGGCTGAATGTTTAAAATTATATTGAGATAGTAAGTTTTTAGTGTTTCAGGCTTATTACAGGCCTCGGGGGCCTTAAGCTTACCTGGGTCCTAGTGCCAGTCCGGCCCATGGATTCGGATCGTGACATCGACGGATCAAATAAAATATTTAATATGTCTAATTTTTATAAAAAAAAAAGTAAATAAAAAAGATTGTTCTTTTGTATAGAATCTAACTAATAATTTGGTAAATGAGGGGACTGACAGTCATATACTAGAAAAAATTAAGCATTTTCTATTAATTTTACGCTTATTAATTGAAAAAAATTAATATTATTAAGACATAGCTTTTGCTTAAAATACCTTTATATTAACATTAAATAATTTATGTAATCCATTAAAATTAATTATTTTTAAAATTAATCTAAATATCTTTTTGATGTAAGGATCAAAGAGCAAAAATTTGAATTGGCTATTATATCGTTGATATAGGTGGCGACAGTAATGATTTATTTTATATGATTACTGGTAAATAGGTGGCGACAGTAATGATTTATTTTATATGATTACTGGTAATATTAATATATTTGTTGAAACAATAATATATATAAGCTTTCAGCCAACAAGATGTCAGACAGTCCCATAATTTTCTAATTAATGGTAAATTCATGGCTAAAATCATGGATTACTTTAATTAATTCTTTCGATTTATTATTTTTATTATTATTATTATTTAATGGTAAATTGTGTATGGTAAATTGTGTAATCATAAATCAATTTTTATCTTATATTTTATTAAGTTGATTTTCTTTTTTCTAGTTCCAACAAAGACAGGTAAATATGTAATTACGGGATAAAAAGTAATTGTTATAATTTAACTTTTTTTATTAACCTAATTCGTAAAGATTAAAATATTACTACTAAAATTAATATTAAGGTCATGCATGCATATGATTAATTAATCTTTAACCATTAAATAAAAAAAATAAATAAAAATAAATAAAAGAAAAGAAAGAAAGAAAGAAAGAAATACATGAAATTTGCTTATTGACTTCTAAAAACCACGACTTAATCACATCGTTTATTCTAAAACATGGAACTGTAATATCAAAAACAAACCAATCAAACCTTTAATTCTAAAACATAGAACAATAATTTCAAAAACAACACAGATCCTTACAAAGCACAAGCTACACACAAATACTATTAAATAACCTATAAAATAAGACCAGAACTACTAAATTTCTCTTTAGTTATTTGGTCAAGTCGCTTTGCCATATCAGGTGTTAAATAATTTTTCTAATCACCAATCTTACCCTTTCTAAAGAATGCATTATTTTCAACTTTAAAAGGAATTTCATTGCCAACCTTGTTCCTCTTGTTCACCTCCAAATTGCTCAAGCTTTCAAAACTACAAAAATTAACTATGTTTTGTACAATACCTTGTCTTTCTTCTTCTACAGAGAAAGGGCACCCCATGAACTCTGCTATACCCCATGAACTCTCGCTATTCTCATTCACATAAAACAACGTATCATTTCTGTAAATCTTCATATTTTAAAAACAATATTTTCTCAGGATTTTCCAAGCTTGCTTTCCAATATCCTAAAATATTGTCCCAAAAAGGTCCACCAGCAGATAACCCAGTACAAAACTTATCAAATGCCTCTTCCCATGACAGAACATCAGTATCCAAGCTCTTATTATTGAAGTGCCATAGCGAGACAAAGACATCTTTAGGATCTCTACACATATAAATTATTTTACATGTAGAGCACTTCACAATTGATTTAGGCAAGGAAGCATAAGGAACATGAGTAGACAACAATGGATTTTGAGAGTCACGACCCTTACAATATAAAAACTCTATAAAAGGCACAATATCATGTGGCATATTTGTGAGTAATGGGTTTATCGAAGAACCACCAGAATGTTGGCTTCTTCTGAAAATTGTAAAGCATAGTGCCTTAAGCCAAGTTGTGCCAGATTTTGGAAGAGTACAAATGATAATATCAGTAGGTTGAGGTAGAAGAGTACAAAGTGATAATATCAGTAGGTTTCAGTAGGTTGAGGTATAAAATATTTTTGAGCTAGAATTATACCTTCAAGGAAATTTGGGTAGCACCAAAAGTCTTGGTATTTGTGTAAATTTTGAGAAAGTTGCCAACTAGTTTCTTTGGGAAGGTCTGAGATGATCTGTTGACATTCAATTGAGGCTTTTGAAAGCTCTTCCAAATTTGAAACATTAATAGCTTTCAAAGGTGACGAAGGCTCCATGGAAGAAGTATAATATTTAGATAGGTGATAGAGATATATATATTATTGGGGTGTATCAAATAATGCATACCAATAAACTTCTAATAGAGTTTTTTCAACCAAATAAGGTTAAAAATCCATATACGTTCGTTTTTGTCTTAATTGGGCAATATTTCATTATAAATTTTTTTAAAATATAATTTTCTTATCAACCTATAACAAGTTTAAAATATTTTTTAAAAATAAAGGTAATAATTAATAAAATTATTTTCATCATTAATTTATTATTTAAATAATCATCAAAGACAATTTATACTCATTATTAGTTGAAAACTAAATACATAAAATATTATAGACAATAAGAAACTTTTTTTTTTAATTTACACTAAGTAATATCTACATCTAAACCTATACTATATATAAAAGTAGAAATGAGAGGGAATAATGATATTTTCTATATCACCCTTAATGAAATTTAAAATGTTCCCGTAATGATGGTCAATTAAAAAATTGCAGTTTATTAATTGATTGCATATAATTTATAGCCTCACCACAGTTTGTAGTGCTCAATTGATTTAGATGGAGCATGTGAAAATTCAAACTTTCAATTTATTAATTTGAGTAAGAATTTCGACAATTTTCCCGACATTAACAATAATAATTTTAATAACGATTTTTTAATTTTTTATTTATGGATAATAATTCGATTTGGATATACTATTCAAAATAAATTTAAAATTAAATTTTAAAATTATTTTATATGTGTTTAATTAATTTAATTTTACACCGTTAATTAACAAAATCACTTTTAAGAAATTGAGATGTTAATAATTTTTTATGGAAGGGGGCCAACCGACCAGTACTTGAAAAGTTAAAACCACCGACAGTACTTTGAAAAGTTAAAAAAAGATCAAAAGAATAGAATATGAATGGCTATACCGGTATTTAGTAGCTTATAAATGACTAGTAATAACAAGAAAGATGGAGTTCTATTTTCAGAAAGACATTTTAATATTTTATATATGTGGGTATAATTTCTGTATACTACATATATAGGTATAGATATCCATGATTTTTATAAATTTTAGCAATGTTTTGAGAAAGTGCAATTGTAAATTTATAGATTTTTTCGGATAAAATCTTATCCCTTGCATGTGAATCTTTATCTTCACCCATAAAATCTTATCCCTTACATTTATATTAAAAAATATCTATATATTAAGGCGCCATTTATTTTTCTAAAATAATTTAGAGAAAAAGAATTTATAATATCTTTAAAGAGAAAAAGAAAATTATTCTAAGAAGATAAAAAAATAATAAATATGGGACCCACACCAATTAGCTTACCCAACATGGTGTGTTTTAATCATGCTGAGCTTTATTACGGTGTGTTGTTGTAATCATAATCATACTGGGCTTTAAATTATGGTGTATTATTGTAATTATAGCGCTGATGTTTTAATTCAGCGGAATACATAATTTAATCTCTGAACTTTAAAAAAGTAATATTGTGATACTCTAAACTATGAAATCAATTGTTGGCATCTTAAATTTAATTTTTTTATAATAATTCGCAACTCCATACATTAAAAACAGTAATATTTAAGCTTTTAAATTTTTATACATCAAATATTGGTTTTTTATGTGGTTTATACAATTATTGAAATAATATTTAGATTTTTTAACTTTTCAATTAGTGTTTTTATCAATTTAATTTTACAGTGTTCAACAGATCAAATAAAATATTTGATAGATCTAATTTTTAGAGAAAAAAGGAGGCAATGAAAAAGATTGTTCTTTTGTATAGAATCTAACTATTGATTTGGTAAAAAAAAAAGTTAATCTCTTATTTGCATTATTCAAATTCAATTTACAAATTGCAGATTGTTTCTAATTCACTTCTTTTTGGAAGAACTTTAAATTTAACTGGATTTAATTTTACTTGCAAATTTAATGAAATAGAAAATTATAAATTATAAATTGTAATAGAAGCAAAATCCAATAGCGGTCAATGATAGCTGTTTATTGCCTATTACCCAAGTTTTAAGGTCAATGATTTTTGGCACTTTTTCTACAAGTTGTGCCAATTGCCAAAGCCCAAGACTTACGGGCTCCAAAGAAGTCCACGTTTGATGTCACTGTTTGGTTGAGTTGGTTGCCTCTATTTATTTATTTATTTAGCTTTTTGGGTTATGAAAATTCAACCTCTTCTTAGCCTCATCTCATAGATACTGTCAATTATTAAATTATTTAATCTAATGGCAACTTTATAAATGATAATAATAATAATAATATTAATTAGGTTCATGGTTTTTAAGAATAATTTTTTTAGTTTTTTATAAAAATAAAAGATTGTATTTATAGTTAAATATTTTAAATTTATAATAGAATAATATCTTTTTTAAATATGGTTTTTATTGTAACTAGTAATTACTTTATATTTTAAAACACAACTAAAACATAATTTTCTTTTTAGTTGATAATTTTTTTTAAAATTTAAGCAATTATTCACAACTAAAACATAATTTTCTTTTTAGTTGATAATTTTTTTTAAAATTTAAGCAATTATTGTCTTTCTAATATTCAAATTGATCCACAATAAATGCTCTGAATTATTCAAAGATGAGGACACTAGATTGTTCTCATTTTATATTCATAGAATTTCAAGTCTACACATATATTCTATATTCTTCTTTTTGTTTTTCTTCCTTATTCATTGGTATGTATATAATCATATATTCTTCCTCTTTATAATAATAATAATAATAATAATATATATATTATTAATAATAATAACGATATTTTTATCATTCATTGGTTAAAAAAATGAGAAAAGTGAAAATAATTTTAAAAAATTTATATTATAATTAATTTGTTTCATAAATAAATTCATAAACCGAATCTATGCGACTTTTATTCATTAGGAAGGAGTTATTATCAAGTCAGAAGCACTGTAATGATGCCTAAAACGAAAAGACTAGCTGTTTTTCTTTTTCATTTGGGTCTTCACAGTATTGTTACTGTTATCTTTGAAATCGACAATTTATATATCTATGGCGGACAATGAGGGAGTTAAAGTTCCACAGTTTTCCTTTCTTCCTTTGTTTCTTTTTTCTAATCTTTTACTACTGAAATTTGAAATTTCTTTTGTGAAGGACTTCTTTTTTCTTTCTGAGAAAGCATTGTTAAGGACTTTGAAGTTGAACCCTCCTTCCCAGGCATTATTAAGACTAAAGAATACTAAAAAGTATTAATTTATTTTTTTTTTATCACTAATTACTGTTACAATTGCATTTTATTTTTTTCATTTTTTTATTATTTTACTTACTTAGTAGCTTTTAACTATTGCTTATAACTATTTTGTAATTGCTTAATTTTATACAAAATCTATGGCCTTTTTTTCTGTTGTAGTTTTTCAAATATGAACACCAATAAACTTCTAATAGAGTTTTTTCAACCAAATAAAGTTAAAAATCCATATACGTTCATTTTTGTCTTAATTGGGCAATATTTCATTATAAATTTTTTTAAAATATCATTGTCTTATCAACCTATAATAAGTTTAAAATATTTTTTAAAAATAAAGGGAATAATTAATAAAATTATTTTCATCATTAATTTATTATTTAAATAATCATCAAAGACAATTTATATTTATTATTAGTTGAAAACTAAATGCATAAAATATTATAGACAATAAGAAACTTTTTTTTTTTAATTTACACTAAGTAATATCTACATCTAAATCTATACTATATATAAAAGTGGGAATGAGAGGGAATAATGAGATTTTCTATATCACCAACTGATATATAAATAGGTGGGAATGAGAGGGAACATAATGAGATTTTCTCTTATCACCCTTATGAATTTAAAAATGTTTCCCGTATTGAATGGCCAAGTTATAAAAATTGCAGTTTTAATAATTGATTGCATATAATGTTATAAAGAAATTTAAATTTTATGGCCAATCATGTGCAAAGTTTGATTATTTTCTAACTTATGTGAAGAGTGAGACAATTTTCGAGTTTTGACGTCCTCCTCTAGACCACAAGTGTTTTCATTAATTTGGATTGTTAACTTGTGTAGTTTCAGTGTTTATTTTGGCCAATTAACCCCGCTAATAATCACAAAAAATTATTTTTTAAATAAGATAGATATAAATAATTAAACATTTCAAAATTTTTTATTTTATCTTTACTGAAAGTTTGGTTTTGTAAATGAATAATATTGTTAATTAGATATATTGAAAATTTTTTATATTTTTAATTTATTAAATATTAATTCTTTTAGGAAAATATATAAAAAAAGAAAAGAAAAATATATGTTTTTTTCCTTTGGTATGGTTATGATTATGGATATTTAAAAAAAAAATTCAAAATAGAATAAGCATATATAGTTTATTTAGGAGTTTAGGAGAGAGATAAAAAAGAAGAAAAGTATATTCTTTTTATTAATGTTTTTGTTCTTTGCGTTTGTAAGATTTGATTGGATATATTTTTTAAAAAGTAAATTTTCAAATAGAATTTATATAATTAGATCTGTAATGGTAAACGATTGAAAATTTTGATTTTAAAAAATAATATTTATTGATATATTTATATAAATTGAAACTTTTTTTGTTAGGTGAGTTACCAATTTAATTATTGGGTAACCCTCAGTATTGTTTCTGGCCATTAGGTCTCCTAATGAATCGAAAAAATAATTTTTTAAATATATATATAGATATTTTAAGTTTTATATTTACTAAATTTATATATTATTATATTAAATATTATATATAATATTAATATATATATATATATAGATATAGTATATATTAAATTAAGCATTTCAAAAATTTTAAGTTTTTAGTATTTACTAAATTTATTTTTTAAATGAAATATATAGTAATATTGAAGGAATATGTTGAAAATTTTTTTTTATATTTTATTTATTAAACATTTAATCTTTTAGGATATAGATAAAAAAAAGAAAGAATATGTATATTTTTTATTAATATTTTTTTTATGTTTGTACGACATGATTGGATTTTTAAAAAAAATAAATTTTCAAATAGAATATATATAATATTTTATTATATGTCAATTAAAGTTTTTAATGTGAATATATATAAAATAAAAGTCTTTTAAGGTGAATCTATTAGATATATAATAATTCTCAGATGAAAATAGACAATTTATATAAACTAATTTTTATTAACTTTTTATCTTTGAAATTTTAATTTGAATCAATTTAGAAAAAAGAAATCATAAAATATAAATTTATTAGATATTATTTTTCTTGAATTTAAATAACATATCAAATATTATTAATTTATTGATTGAAGTAATAAAAGAATAATCAAACATTATTTTAAAAATAGCATTAGTAGAGCCTTATATAAGTTTATAACATCAATCTTTAATTTGCTTAAAAGAATTATTATCGATATTTAATAATTAATATTTAATGGATAGTTGTTTAATATAAATAGATATAACGTTAAAAATATTATGTATGTACCTGAACGACAAATTTTGAAAATAATTTCCACATTATGAGAGAAGATAATTTTGAAAATAATTTCCACATTATGAGAGAAGATAACGATATATGGCATTTTAATTGCATTAATCCAAATCTACAAAATAAAAAATCTATGCAAACACATCAATTAAGATGCAAAATTAGCAAATAATTTTTTTTATATATCAACTATGGTACACTCAATTGTTTATCACTTATAAATTCAACTTTCAAATTAATTTATAATATGCATTCAAAAAATGCAATGAAACTCATATTAAGTATTATTTATATAAATTAAAAAAAATTTAAATGAATAACTATTTAAATTATAGCAAAAATGTAATTAAAGAATAGTAAAAGGGTTAAGTGGGAAGATAATATTGGACATGAATATAATTAAATAATTCTAAAATGATAAAATGGATACAATACTATTTTCGCAGGAATTTAATCAGAGAATAATATAAGGATTAAAAAAAATTACAGAATTTTGTTAAAAAAAAATTATAGAATTTAATAAATTATGTATGTATTTTAATATTTATAGTTCTAAATATTTTACATTATTTTATTGCTATTACTCTTATAACTTAAATATATGTAGATAATTTTAATGTTTTTAATAATTATTTAAATATGTAGATATATGTAGATAAATTATTTAACAAAATCACTTTAAAAATTGAAATGTTTAATAATTTTTTATGTAAGGGGCCACCGACAGTACTTTGAAAAGTTAAAAAAAGATCAAAAGAATAGAATATGAATGGCTATACCGGTATTTAGTAGCTTATAAATGACTAGTAATAACAAGAAAGATGGAGTTCTAAAGCTTCTATTTGCAGAAAGACAACTTTAATTACAAAGCTAATACATTAAATCAAATCAAATACAACCAATACTAATTTCAAATAAACTTCAAACTAAACCAATATGATTAACTACAATTGAATAATCAAATCAAATTAAAAACACTAACTCAAAATAAATCAAGCTACATTAATACTTAAGATAATTAAATCAAAACCAACCAAATCAAAAAGTACTAATTCAATAAATCAAACTAATTATACATTAATACATACATAATAAATTAAACCATATCAATGCATGGAGGCATATTGGAATGAATATCGCCTCCGTGTTTAAAAATAAAATCGCATAGTGCACATGCTACTTCCAAGGGAGAATGTTTTGCTTTATATATAATATAAATAATATATATATATTATTATTATATATATATATATATATATATTGATGTGAATGTATTGGTTAGAAATTAAATGTCGGAAAATCCATTGAGTCCATTGAATTAGGTCTTGACCAAAATAAAACAAAGATTAGATTATGTTGATTTCAGTTTCATAACCTATAATTACTACTTTTATATTGATACATGCTTTTGTTGTCCTTAAAATAGAATATATAATAAAACCTTAGATTACTACAGTGACTTATAAGCCAACCACCTATCAATCATGGCAAAACACTCCTTTGGCCTTATCTCTGAAGCTGAGTGACTTCCTCCCTGTGAACAAAGCAAAAAGAGAATAGTAAATTAATCAATAATTTAACCAATTAAAAAAAAAAGGAAAATAATTAATAATGTTCTTGCCTGAACAATTGCAAATGTCAAATTATATTTTCTCTTTGAATACGCAATTACATGACTGCAGAAAAAAAAAAAATTGAATTATTTAGTGATAAAAGAAGAAAATGTTAAATCTTATAATTTGAGTTTTAGATAGAAAACAAACTGACCCAGCAACTTGATGATCGACTAACCATGGCTGCCAATTTTTTGTTACTGTCAAGTTCAGAGTTTGTATCCAAGCATAGGTAGCCAAATATGGAAGAGCTAAGTCATGATCACCACTGCCAGGGAAGAAATCAAGTGCAATTATGTATTTTTATGTTAATTGGTATGCAAAATATATGTTAATTACCTGAAAATCAAAACACGGTAGGCACTAGTCTTAGTGAAATTTCGATGATACTGCACAACACTTAGGACATCAAAATCATATCTTAAACTAAGATTGCATCTGGGCCATTCCGTTATTGTTCCCTGGATCATTAAACATCATTACCACATTACATCTACAAATGATCATATTTATGATATAAAAAAAATGACCCTTAATCAGTATTAGCATATAAATTTACCTCTCTAACATGAAGTGCACTTTGAACACTCTTATCATTTGCCCAAATATGGGAATATAGTAGCATATAATCCTGTAAAATAACAATATATTATTGCATCATATATAAAATAAAATATTTTATTAATACTTCGATGAGATATTTTAATGTTTTCGCAGAACATTTTTTGATTTGTATAATCTAAAATTTGATTTTTGTTTGTTAGTCAGTGAAAATTTCAGAATTCGAACTTTGACCTTGCACATAAAGTTAACTTGAGACTCAGTATGCTTTCAATGATCCAGTTAAATATACTTACACGACACCATTCTCTGGAAAGTTGAGTTGCAGCAAATACATCAATCTTTTTCATGAGAGTAAGCAGATCGGTTCCTCCCAACAAAGGACTGAGATCCCACGATCTACATTTGGGTTCCAATATATTGTACAAGTACAATTCCTCGAATGTCTATCATCAAATTATTGATCATACATATAAATATCAATATCCATGTCTATAAATAAATAAATTGAAAGATAATGAGAAAATTATGAGTAAAAATCAATATTCGTTTTGGGCAAATACTTGCCAACTCGCAGTGTATTTTCTCATGATTTTGGCTACTCACCTTGTTCACAGCTTGAAGATTGCTAATGCATATTTTGTTACTTCTATCTGGATTAAGATACTCCCCTTTGCAACTTTCCTTAATTGACTTCAATTACAAAATATTTTCATGTTTCAAAATATGGTTAGATTACAATATATAATGTTTAAATATGGTAGATTACATAATTATATTTACTATATATACTATATATCATATATATATATTATATCCCCGATAAGAGAGAGAGATATATAAAGAGAGAGAGAGAGATAATTTAAGGAGTTCACCTCGTAAAGTTGGCTAGATATGAGTGCCTTTTGGTGAGCATACGGGATTCTTGAACTCAAATCATTCTTATAATCAGTAACTGGATTTCCTAATATATATCCCTGAATTTGATTTGCAGAAATATAACTAGTTCAATCACAATGCAGAGAAGAAATAAACAAAGTAAGGCCTAATTAGTTAACACTAATTTTGATTTAACAGAAATAAGATACTTACTTTGAGGTTGATTTTTGGCTTATTTCCTTTATCATTTCCTGTAATTAATAAAATAAGACAGGTAATTAATAACATCAAATAACTTGTAAACTGGTAGGATGTGCCTGATTTTAGCTAATTAGTTACCAAAATAAAATTATTCCCAACTAGAATAAAAGTTACAACCGATCATTCTGATTCGAGCATGAAGATATGTGGACGTATTTTTTTTAGAAAGCTAACAGGAAATTGTTGACTGGAAAAGGCAAGGCTATCTAACAAGCTGTATCTTTTATTCCAGGGAGATAATTTACCAGTAGTTATTTCTTGAACAATGATTGGAACAACTAGGCCACCATAAGAATCACTACCAACGTACATTGGATTTGACAGAAATTTAGGGTGTGCCATAAGCCACTGCACGATCAAATTAAATTTTAGTAAACTTCTTTTTTTTTTTTTAAATAATTTATTATGTACTAAATAGATAGAGATAAAAGAAATATATTGGACTAGGGAAGGATCTGTGATTTGTCAGTTACCTTTCTTAGAAAATCATAGGTTTGAGCTGCTGATGATAAATCACCTATATTGTATCCTCGCCAAGTTGTTGCATATGAAAATCCAGTACCAACTGGTGCATCTAAATATATTATATTTGCAACCTGTAAATTTTCAGTAATTTAAATTAGAAAATTACAATTCAGAATATCCCACTAAAATAAAGGTTGATTCTCAAATAAAGTACTTCCGATAATAGTGACTCTAGGTTATTAAACTAAAGTTTTGAAGTTTATCATGGAGCTTTTATATTTTGAGGTATAAATCAATGTCCATCAAGTTAGGCTTCAGCAAACTTTGGAAACCGCAAAATAAGACGCTGTCGTTTGCCCATTATTTTCAGTTTACTCTGCGCCGCTACCAACCTACTTCTCTTCTCCATTTTAATCTTTTTGTAGCACTACCTTCACCGATGACTTTTTCCAGCTAAAACCCACCATCTGAAGCCGCTCAATGGTCGACCTTGACGTCTTCTTCGAGTATTTCGCTTGCATCACTTGAAACCCTTAAAACGGACAAAGAAAGCTTTGATCTTTAAGCAATTTCGAAAGGATCCTTCTAGGTCTGTCTCTGTGCTTCTACACATTTTCGCTTCCACTTTTATAATCTTTGATAACCAATGGCTGGCACCGTTATTATCTACTCTTTCAGATTCTGTCAAGTAAAGATTGATGGGTGGTTTTTAATATGATTATATAGAGTAGATCCGCGTCTCGTCCTTGTGGCAGGTGGCCATGGTACGGAAACCGAGTGTTTCGGTTTTGGAACCAACGGTCCTGGTTTGAAAAAATTTGAAAGAGAATTCGAAAATTGACGGTTCCAATTATGGTTTAAAATAATTCTGGTTCTAATTCTGGTTCCTTAACGGTTCCAAATCAATGGTTCTGGCTGGTTCTCAATTGATTTTCCAGTAATATAAAATCAGAAGTTAGGAAATATTTTTTTTTTGAAAATTTAAAATTTAAATTAGGAAATATTTTTTTTTTGAAAATTTAAAATTTAAATATTTATGAAATAATTTTTTGAAAAAACTTATAGAAAAAGTTAAAAAAGGCGCTCAACTTAATTTATTTATTAAAAAAAAGGCTCAAACCTTTTTTTTTAGAAAAAAATGCTTGAACTTAATTTATTTTCTTCAAATAAAATGAGATATTTATAGTAAATCGAAAAAAGTAATTTTTTGTAAATACTCTTAAAACTAGCCATTATATAGTTGTTAGGAGAGTTAATTTTGAGATTTAACAAAAATATTTGAAAAAATAAAAAAATATTCAAATCGGGTTGAACCATGATTCAAACCATCGAAATTTTCGGTCGAACCAATTAGAAAAACAGCCGGTTCGAGCGGGTTTGACCAATTCTTAGAACCGCCGATTCACTGTTCTTCAAAACTTGGAATCAAAACAGAACCAAAAATCCTCGGTTCTAATTTCGATTCAAACTGATTTCAGTTTCTCATGGTTTTGGTTCAGTTCCCAATGGTTTCTCACCCGCGGTTTCGGTTCCAAAAACCAGAAAATGGCCGCCTCTTGTGGCTCATGTGGAATTCAGGGGGTGAACTGAAGGGCATCCGGTTTTTCGAATGACGTGTGCAAAAAGACAGAATGCTTTCAGGACTTGGTTGTCGTTTTGGCTTAGAAAGCTCCACATTTTGAATGTATTTGACACGTGGTGGGAGGCCTGGCATTGGGCTTTGGAGGGTTTTGCATGATGTGATTGCTTGTGATTTGAAATATAGTCGTTGTGGTGGACGTACATGAGATCTTACGAAAACAATTTATAGCCAACCGATATTGATATGTAAATTTAATTTCTGATACCCGGTTAACCGAACCGTTCCGAACCGAACTTGCGGTTCAGAATATGACTCGGTTTTAACACAAAAACAGTTTAAAGCGGTCTGTAAAATTTATTGACTCTCGGGTTATTTGGTTCGGTGCGGTTCGCAATCCAACCATCCGAATGCACACGATTACATCAAATAAATATTAATATTAAAGATAAATTAATCCTCTCAAAAAAAAAAAAAAAAAAAAAAAAAAAAAAAAGGGTTAACCTTTGTCCATGAATGGGGATTCAGCACAAGGGTCGGTTTGCTGGAAGTGGGGTTGGCATAGTTGAAATGTAGTGGACCTGAAAAAAATGTTGCAAAGCATAATATATCAATAATCAGTGACGAACAAAAACATTACATTTGTGAGAACAAAATAGTGATCGGTTTTTGCTTTCAACCATTTAAGGAAGGGAATCAAAATGAATTGATGAACCAGTAAATCCACACAAATTATACGAGGTAGTTTTCAGTTGTTAGCAGTAAAAATATACCATGTTGATATAGAATAGCAGATAGCGAAGAGCACCCAGCAGGTCCTGCTGTAAACCAAAGCACAAGAGGATCATCTTTTGGATTCCTTTCCGACTCCACAAAGTAATAGAATAGCTGCACTTCTTCATTGTACCCTACGCCTACATATCTTAATTAACACCCAAATGAAATTGTCAATGTATAACTTTTGTTTTTAATGGTTAGACAAAAGACTAATTCTTTTTGAGCTTGGGAGTGATTATGTTAAAATCATTTTCTAAGATGCTAATTTCACGACTCGATTCTGAGACAGTGAATTTATATTTTCAAATAGAGGAAAAACAAAGTACATACCCGGTTTCAAGATTGAATGGAAGATCTCCGTCAAAGCCAGGCAGATTCTTGATGATTGATTGGGAGGTAACAATGTTGGAGAAGCTAATTAGTAGAGGAAGAAGAAGAAGAAGGTCATGACCTAACACCATTTTCTATCTAAAGAGCATTTTCTATCTAAAGAGCTTTTGTTTAAATGAAACAATTGTGAGTGAACAATGTAATTTGATACAAAAAGTTCTTAGGTTGGGTCCAGCTGAGAATCGACTAATTGTCACAGATTAGGTCAAAAGGGTTTGGGGTATTCAATGGAAGATATACATGCACCTTTAAAGCAGATATCTTTTTTAACTTTTGCTCTGGATTTATTTCCATTTAGGTTTATTTCCATTTAGGTTACATGTGTAATGTGTCTGTTACGAAAGAACAAAAGTGGTTGATATATGTATGTTGGTCCACTCCATAATTTTTTTTTTCTTTTTCTTTTTTTATTAGGTTAATGGTAGAGTTGAAAATGGAAATAATAAAAATGATTTCATATTATCATAAGGGGCAAGAATAAGCTTAAGAAAAAAGTTTTCTTATATATATAAACAAGAAAAAAAAAAACTTGGTGTTTATATAGGTGGGAGGAATATTAAGATTGCCAAAAATACCTCTACCAAGTTTATAGACCGACAAAAGCATCATTAAACATTTTAATTTGATTGATTGAAAAAATATAAAGGCGATTTAATTTTGATTATTTATATTAATTTTCTATTTAAATTTAAATTTTACTAGATAAAATAAGAAATTATATTATATATTATTTGGTTCCACTTTCTTATAACTGAAACCCGTAGTTTGAAATGAAATCATATAATATTATATTAAATAATTAATGTATGTAATGTGTATATTAAATATGGTGAGAGACACATATAATATGGTAATATGTTATAATATGGTAATCTATTACATGTATACATATTATATGGTAATAAAATATAATTACATATTATATGGTAATAAAATATAATATAATATGTTAATATGTTATAATATGGTATAATACTATTATATGGTAGTATATACATATTATATGGTAATACTATTTGACCAATATTAAATAAGGTATATAGTAAATATGGTAAGAATATAATATCTTCAAGAATTTTAATTTTATTAGTTGAAAATATAAAGGTAATTTAATTTTGATGGATTATTATTGTATTGTATAAAGTACATATTAAATATGATAAGGATATAATATTTTTAATTATTATTTTTAATAAATATTTAATTTGATTTGTCATAATTATTTCCTACAATTAACTTATTCTATGAAATTTTATTATTATTATTATTATTTTTAGAAGAAATCAAACTAAAAATTTTATTAATAGGAAACCATATACAAATTGAAATACAGATTAATATGTTTCTATATTTTTGTAAAGTAAGTCCAATAATAAACCTCTCATACAAAAAATTAAAAAAAAAACCACAATTTTGATTTTAAGTATCCGATCAAGTTGACAGAGCATAATACATGTGCCATAGGGGATCGCTCACTTCACTTGGTGGCTATTAATTACCATTGTTCTACTCCATAGTCTTTCTACAAGTCTGATATGATTATCTTCAAATTTTTTACTTCTATCAAAAAGAAGATGTTCACTTCTTTCTACATAACTGCCCAAATAACAAACTAACATAAACAAAATCACCATAATGGTGATAACAAAAATCAGAAACTATCAAACGACTAGATCTGAGAACAAAATTCCAAAATATCGACAACAATAATCCCAATATATGGGGAACACTAACTTAGATCTGTATCGAAAGACATAAATTTAGAATTATTCGAAAAAGAAAATACAAAAAAGACTAGGGGTGAGCATCGATGGCCGCCCATGAAAAAAGAAAATTGAAATTTAATACATTCTATTCACTTGAGGACTATCAAACGCTTAAATGACCATTTGTGTCAAGCTTCGGTCGGTCCATGATAGTCCTTTCTCCTTGCCATAAGCATAAGTTGTCCTAACTCAACTATTTGTGAATTCCTCAAGGTTCAATTCTTCATAAACCTTAAGCTCTAACCGTTGTAATTACAAGTAACCAGTGTTTGGTTCTATTCATCGTTACTTGGTCCTGTAGGTGACCATGTCCCTGAGTGTTGACCATAACCAGTGTTTGGTTCTATTCATCGTTACTTGGTCCTGTAGGTGACCATGTCCCTGAGTGTTGACCATAACCAGTGTTTGGTTCTATTCATCGTTACTTGGTCCTGTAGGTGACCATGTCCCTGAGTGTTGACCATAACCAGTGTTTGGTTCTATTCATCGTTACATAACGTCTTGCATGTCCGCGCTCTGTGATTCTTTTAAATTGGCCGAAAGACTTTTTCAAGTATCTCAGCACAAATCCTATGGTAGCCAATTGTATTTGTTCTAAGGATTTAGTCTTCAATTGGTGCATGAAATTGTCCGATTCTAAATATACTAGGTTTTCAATCAATTTCATCAGCATTTCGATATTTTAATAAAATTCTAGCAAGTTTCACCGAGTGTACTGGAATAACTGTTTGGTATAAAATGATTATAGATCTGTTGGACCTGTGTCTATCAGGAATGTCTTGTAGTAGATGGACAAATGGATCGGGATTGTTTAATTCGAATAGAAGATGATGAAAATAAAAAGAATTTAGGAGGGTAAAAAGCAATGATAGAGGGACAAGAGATAAATATAAGAAATTAAATGATTGAAAAAGAGAGAGGGATATAAGGCGATTTGAATGTGCCAGGCAATTTGGTTTGTTTATATAAATTCACTTCATTTACAATATTGGTTTCCCCTGTTTATGGGGGTACTAAGGTGTCCCCCAAACAAGGTGCACCTTGTAGAAAATTTGTAGAAAATTTATACAACAGTCCAAAAATGTCCTATATATTTACAATTTATAGGTTTTAGGTCCAAATGACTCTCTTAGCACTATTCTAACTATATAATACCATTTTCCAAATTCTGCTAATTCAAGCCTTTTATTTTGACTTGGTTTTTTGGACCACCGTCAACAATGCTGCTATTCTTTTTGACAATTCTAATGTTCCCCTCATTCCAATATATATTATATATGGTAATATATAAAAACAATTATACCTCTAGGGGTCATTTTACAGCTTAATAGCAACCGCTATCAAAATTTTATCAAACAGTAATATTGATCTGCTAACCGCTATCAATTACAGCCACCAGTCATCGACAATTGCTCTTAGTTATCAGTTGGTATGAACAACTAAACCAAATGGGTCCTTAATATAGTTCGCTTAAAGGATTTTATCAACAAAAGTTATTAATTAAAATCCTTTATTAATTTTTTTAATGCAAGTTATGTGAAAAATACATTAAGTTATATCATGCAAGAATCTTTGCTTAAACAAACTGAAATTATTCGATCAATTGAAACCGACTAAAGAGGAAAAAATCCAAGCCACCTATCAATCATAGCAAAACATTCCTTTGGCTTGTACTCTGGAGCTGTATGTCCTCCTCCCTGCATATCAGAAGGCCACATTAAGGACTAATTATATAATATGTTAATTACAAAAAATTTTTTAATTATTGTTATTAATTATTAGAATATATACATACAATTTTAATTTTATTTCGATTCTAGCCCATTGTTTTAATTTTTTTATCAATTAATCTTAAATCATGTAAAACACTTTATGATATTATGAATTTAGCATTCATTCAATTTCAGCAAAATTAGTGTCTCTCTTCATATATATGCACATAGAGACTCAATAAAATTTTTATTATATATTGACCCCAGAAAAATATTTTCTAGATTCAGATTCACACTGTGACGCACACACATAATTCTTACCTTAATAGTTGCATATGTCAACATGTACATGTTGCGGTAGTATTCCAATCCAGTATCTGTGCAGCAAGTTGAGGTAAATTATGAAAATTATGAATTAAATATTTAAAATTTGCAGCTAAAGCCTACCAAGAACTTATATGTATAGCTGGAAAAATAAGATTCAACAATAGTCGAAGTTAAGTACCAACCCTGCCACTTGACCATCGAGGAACCATGGATTCCATTCGTGTTCAATTGTCAAATTTAGAGCCTCTATCCATGCCATGGTACTCAGAAATGGAACAGACATGTCTTGATCACCACTGTGCAAGAAAATACAAAATTAAAACTAAAACTTTGGTCGTAATAATATTGCAAAATTGAGCTTATAATATTGGAAATTAAAATTATGAAGTCTTAGACTTACACCAGTATCTCCAAATGCAATGGGAAAATGTATTTAGCTTTTAATTTTTTTTTTCAAATTTTTTATAATCATTTTTTCAAATTTTTTATAATCATTTTTGACATCATTGAGTTCTTTTTTTTTATATATATGGAAAAGAAAAACAGCATTCAACGTATGAAAAATAGTTCAAGTGGAAATGTATGTTTGAGCTCAACAAATGATTTCTGAAAATTAGGTTTGGTGTCATTTCGGATTTCAGATTGATTGAGGTCATTTTTTTTTTTTTTTTTTTGATTTTTTTTTTTATCCAGAATGGTTCTGATTGGATTACTTCTAATTGCAAGCAGCTTGACAATATGAAAAAAAAAATATGTATAACAATAAAGTAAACTAAGTATTAAAAAATATTATTTATATAGTGGGATATTAATAATTATTCATAAGCTAAAATGGGACTAAATCAAATTGGATTACATAATTTAATTTAGCTTGGCTTTTAAATAAAAAAATTATTAATTTAATTAGTAATTTTTATAAAAAATAGTTTAAATTTTTTTTTTCTTTCTAAAACAAATCAACCAAATTTACTGTTGTATAAATATTCTAACATGTGGTTAAAACGTAACTTTTTACTATTATAGAATAAAAAAATTTTATTGCTTGAGAAATATACGGTAGCTTTCTTTCTTTGATGTTTAACAAAATTTATGCGGATAAAAAGTGAAAAATATATATACCTGTATATCAAAACTTTTAAGCCTTTCTCAATGAGATTTCGATGTATTCCAAAACTGCTTGTGAGATCCTTTGTGTATAGAAGACTTGTATTGCATCTTAGCCAATTTTCTATTGTCCCCTGTTTTCATTAATTGTTGAACAATTATAATTTAGAAGACCAAAATTATCAAATCAAGATTATATAGAATACAAAAAGGCTAGCATAAAATCAACGTACCTCTCGAATGTGAAGAGCTTTTTGTACCATTTTATCATTAAGCCAAACGAAGGAAGGGATATAGTTATAATTCTACAAGACCAGAAAAAATCTGAGTGTGTAATTAATGGTCAATAATTATTGATTAACAAAAAAGGGATATAGTTATAATTCTACAAGACCAGAAAAAATCTGAGTGTGTAATTAATGGTCAATAATTATTGATTAACAAAAAATCTGTATGTAGAACAAGAGATGTGTTTGACAATAGCTTTTTCAATAGCTTACGCTAGTTAAAAAATTGTTCAGTAACATAGTGTTTAGACTAACTTTTAGAGGTTATAGTAGTGTTTTATGAGAAATTAACTCATGTAACGTTTATCATTTAGCTTTTCAAACAGATAACAGTTAAATGCTACTAAGACTGTGTTCGGCAACAGCTTTTTAAGTAGCTTTTAAACTTTTCACTAATTAAAATGATAAACGCTGCTTAAAAAGTTATTTGGTAACATAGCGTTTGAACTAGCTTTTAGAGACTAGGGTAGTGTTTGTGAAAAATTAACTCATGTAACATTTATCTTTTAGCGTTTTAACTAATCAAACAGCTAACAACTAAACGCTACTAATCGCTAACAACTGCCAAAACAGCTAATTTTGCTAAACATACCCTAAAACAGCTAACAGCTACCAAAACAACTAATTTTGCCAAACATACCCAAGAGCTAATACAGTCTAGTTTTATTAGCCTTTTTCACGTCTTTTAAAAAATGTGAGAAATGAGAAATCTCGAGTTCGAGTCTACTGTTATTTTGAACCATTTGGGCTCCAAAAGAAAAAAAAAAATTGAGAAAGAATAATTACCCGACACCAAGGTGATCTCGAAGCATGAATATCTATAGGATCCTCCATAAGAGCACTTTCAGCTCTCTCTAATTTGGAAGGTTTTGTAGACCAATACCCGCAATAAGGTTCCAATATTTGCGGGATATATATTTTTGCAATGCACTACAAAATAAAATTGTAAAAATGTGTTGAAGTAAATACATACTAATCACTGCTAGAGGCTAAAGCAGAAAAACATCAAGGATACTTAAGACTCCGTTTATTTCTGTAAAATAATTTGCAGAAAAATATTTTCCATTGTTTGAAACATTAAAAGAAAATAAGTCATGGAAAATAACATTAAAAGAAAATAAGTCATGGAAAAAAACTGTGGTCAATTGGAAGATATGTTTCTTTGCAGAAAAATATTTTCCATTGTTTGAAACATTAAAAGAAAATAAGTCATGGAAAATAACTTGTTGGTCAATGGAAGATTAGTTCGCATTTAAAAAAAATGACTTACCCTTATTTACGTGAGAAAACATTTTGCCAACCTATTTTATAACCAAAACTGGTCTTTTTGGTCCATCAAAGAACCCTCCATCTAGTGAAGAGGTGCAATTGTAGGCCTCAAATCTCTTTGAAAGTGTCAAAAATGTGTCAAGTGGCTCTTTTTTGAGGACAAAATGTTTAAAAAGTAATTTATTAATAGGTTCATACCATTTAAAATATATTTTACATGATACTTTTAGCGATATAATTAAAATAATCATTAAAGTATTTTAACAATATATTTTAAAATAATTATAGTACTTATATATTATTAAATTATTTTAACATGATATACACTGTATCGTTAAATAATTAAATTAAAAAATTAAATCATATTATTAGACTAAATTAATTATCATTATCTATGAGAATACATCTTAAATATAAAATCTAATTATTATAAAAAAATTATCTTTAATCTAAATTCTTATAAATAATATAATAGGTGTAAATGCATTTATATGATGGAAAATTAAAATTTTTAATGTTATATCGAATGTTGAAAAATATTTTCTAAGAATGTTTTTGTGAAAGCCAAACATTGGAAAATAATGTGTTTTTCTATAAAATATTTTCCATGGAAAACATTTTCCGGTAAGTTGTTTTTCAGCAAGTTATTTTCCGGAAACAAATGGAGCATTAATTTTTAATTTTTCAATTTAGTCCTTGTTTAATTTTTAAGACTCACCTCCTCGTAAACCTGGAGAACAACTGCACAAGCTGTATTGTTGGGTTCTGAATAGGTATAATTGCCCTTGCAATTTCTTTTGCCATTCTAGAAAAAATCAATAAAACTCGGAATGTTAAAATGAATATTATTTTTTAGGGTTTTATTTTTATTTGATTTTTTCCAAGCAATTTATTAAATTATACCTCATAAACTTCTTCTGATATAAGTCCTGTGAAGTAAGCATACTTAAATCTTGAGTTGGTGTCTTTAGCTTCATATGTAACTGGATTTCCAAGCACATATCCCTACACCAAATTTAGTCTTGTGCATCAACTATGCTATAGTACTAATACTAATAGTTATATACCGAAACGTTTTCGAGGAGTTTCCAAGCGTTTCCGTGCAGGAAATGGCAGACAAGGGAAATTTCCGTGCAACATATCAGTATGATGGAGGTAAAAGATGTGGCAAAAATGATATATGTAATATGCAGATACAATTACTTCATTTTGATGGAAAATTTATTATTATTGGCAATAGAAACATCAAACAAGCCCCTCATACCACTAGATTCATTTTCGGATTCCGTCCTGCATCATTCCCTAAAAACAAAGAATTGAACAGCAATATCAAATAATGAAAAAAAAAAAAAAGAAATCAAGGTTGTATGTTTCACTTATTTTCTTTCTCAAAATAAAAAGTGGCAAATAGACATGCAAGAATAAATATTTCACATTGAAGGTTACCGTTAACGATTTCTTGAACAACTAATGGGACAATTTTGCCAGAATAAGAACTAATGGGACAATTTTGCCAGAATAAGAATCACCAGCGATATAGAGTCTGTTACTTTGAATCACCAGCGATACAAAATATTTTTATCATAAACATTTTATCTAGAATTATTTTAATTAATTGTTTTAATAAAATTCAATGTAATAATATCTTTAGATTCAATATTTCAGACGTTTTTTTTATAACACATTACAATTTAGGTATAAGTATGAAAGTGATTGTGATAAGAAATTTTTATTTATTTTCCATTATCAATTTCGCAAAATTATTATGTTTTCTAAATTCTTAAAATTTTCCACAAGGAAATGAAAATAACAAGTCTTCATAAAAAAAAGGAAAATGAGAAAAATAGAAAAAAAAAAAACCTTTTTTTTCAACAATTTTTACATCCCCTAATTTTCAAAACAAGTTATTCCCCAATTACATAAATTGAATTTTTATATTATAATTATATAAAAAAAAAAAAGACTCACTCTAGCTATTTGCAATCCTATTGATTGTTTTCCCCAATTTATACTATTTCAAAAAATTAATTATATTTTTACCCCCTAATAAATTCTTTCTTTTTCTTCTTTCTTCCACCATTGGTGATTGGTGATGCTATGGAAGTAGTTTAACATATCGGTAAAACTTTTCGACAAATTTAAAATAATTCAGTTTGATTTTGTTTTTTGTAGAAATAAATTTATTTTAAAAAATAAGTCCATATTAGATTTGATTCAATTTTAATTTTAATTTTTTCTACACAAAAATTCAGTTTATTTCATTTTCTCACCTTCCTTAAAAATTCATAATTTGCAGCCCCTTGGTTAGTGTCGCTGCTTTGGTACGCCTGCGAAGTTGTTGCATATGAAAATCCAGTACCAATTGGTACGCCTGCGAAGTTGTTGCATATGAAAATCCAGTACCAACTGGTGCATCCAAAAATATTATACTGGCTACCTGAAAAAAAAAATTAAAATTTAATTCTTTAGACTTTTTATTTTGAGATAATACAAAATTCATATACTGAAAATTCTTATCTCCAGAAAAAACTTTGACAGTTGACACCTTTGTCCATGAATATGGGTTCAACTCAAGGGTTGGCTTCACTCTGGACTTTGCATAGTTGAATGATAATGGACCTTCAATAAAGAACACAAGAAATTTTTACATGGTTGGTTTAAGAATTACCATAAATATATATATATATTTTTTAAGACTGAAATGATTTCATTTTTTTTAGTCTTTATTATTAAAAAATATAAAATTAATATTTTTTAAAAGATATTAAGAAATTTTACCTATTTCATATACAAGGGCACTAAACCCAGAACAACCAGGGCCTCCGGTCAACCAAAGAAGAAGAGGATCCTCTTGTGGATTCCCCTCAGACTCAACAAAGTAGTAGAACAATTGCACCTCATCCAATTGCCCTACACCAATATACCTTAATTCCGAAAAAAAAAAAAAAAAAAAAAAAAAAATCATATTAATCTTATTTCAAATTATTTTTAATAAATGTAAATCATAAAAGTTAGTGAATGTAATTAATAAGGACTAAAAAAAAAAAAAAAAAAAAAAAAAAAACATCATATATAATCTTATTTCAAATTATTAATAAATGTAAATCATAAGTTAGTGAATGTAATTAATAAGACTAACCCAGTTTCCAATTTGAAGGGGAGATTGCCGGGAAATCCTGGAAGTGTCTTGATGATTGACTGTGACAAAACAATTTGCGAGAGAAGCAACAAAAAAATTACTTGCAGAAGCATTTTGTACAATAGAAGAAGAAGAAGTGATGCTGTTTTTTATAAGGATAGATAGAAAGGAGATTTGATATACAATAGAAGAAGAGGCCCAGATTCCTTTTGCCTTGCCCCATCTTCCACCTTCCACCTTCCACCTTACTCTCACATCTACTGAAGCTACCTCATGAGTGAGGTAGGCAATTGTCTGCCTTTAGTGTAAGTTTTGCCCCCTTGATAAATAAAATTTAAAAGAAAATTAAGGTTTTGGATTTCTTCGGCAAAATTAAGTATTTTGATACTTGTTAGCTGTTAGCTGTTCTAGTAGCATTTAGCTGTTAACTGTTTAAGTAGCTTTTTATATAAAACGCTAAAAGCTAAACGATATATGAGTTAACTTTTTATTAAACGCTATCTTGACCTATGCTATGTTACTGAATATTATAACAAAATAACATTATTTAATAAGTTGTTGCCGAACACGGCCTTTGTCCGTCTACTCACCAGATAGTTCTGGCTTCGCCGTACGAGGCAATTGTTGTAGAAGCAACCAACCAAACCTAGCATAGCCTTTCCTCATATCGTATAATTAAGATTTTGCAAAATTTTTTTTTTCTTATTTTGCATATGCAGATTTACGGGTCGAACCACATAAATCTTGTGCTTCATAACACTGTAATTAATTAGAAAGGGAAAAAACCAAGCTACCTATAAACCATGGCAAAACAAAAACATGTGGAGCTGCGTGACCGGCTCCCGACAAATTAGTACAATAGTTTAAGTTTAATTATTTTAATTAGTCTTGCATTTTGCTAGCTTGAGCACGAAAATCCATAAATATTACATAACTTAATATGGGTGCACTTGCCGTAATTGTTTCATATGTCAAAATGTATATATTTTGGGAACATCGCATCAAATTAATACCTGAATCAAATATTTTCATCTCAAGAAAAAAAAACCTACATCAAATTAATCTAATTATGAGAAAATTAATGACATTTTAAATTAAAAATGTTTTAGAACCTATTATAGTTGAATTATGCCCTTGAGAGTTTTCTTTATAGTGCATTAGATCTCGCAATTTAATTTGTTGAAGTGTAGGTAATCTTACATTGGATAAATATACATTAACTAAGTGGCATATAATAAAAAAGTGAATCAATCAAAATGGTTTAAGTTATTTCATATTAAAGGTAAATCCAATTTATTATAAACCCAAATATTAAATACATTACTAATTACTAACTGAATTTAATTAATTTGCTCGCAGAGCCAGATTCTTAACAATTTTGAATTCCGAAAAACTCAGCTTACTTGCTTCGATGAGCTAAATTAAACCACAGAAGTAGAAGCTCTTATCCAGACTTAACACAATGTTGTGGGTAGGAATTGTAGATATGGTTGCAGTTATCTTCCTTGCCCCCACCTTCCACTCACTATTAGTATTGGATCCTTCAACTAACTTTCTTCAATTAAACCACTGTTAGGATGGAGCCAGACTTTGGAGTTAAAGGGGACCAAACAAAATTATCAAAATTTAAGGGATAGGTAAAAAAATTCATTGTCCCCACCCAACCCCAAAATCATTCACAATAATATTTAAGAAATTACTTTTTCAGTCTTTCATGACACATCAGTACATTAATTGAATCATTTGATCAAATTTTGAACTACACATTTTATTGGACAATAGCCTATTCCAATGATTCACTCTTTCGATTTACTGAACTGCCAATTTTTATTCTTGAAATTAAAAAAATTGGAGTCAATCTAAAAAAGATGGTTTCAATTTGTTCTAGTTTCAACATGATTCAGGTAAAATACTTTTTTAAAATAAAAAATTTAATAAGAAATATCAGAAAACTTAAATTAGTTTCATTTTTTCATTGTAGAATTTGAATATTCTTTGGCAACCCAAGATATTAAGAAATGGCACAATGGCAGTTGGGCCCTTGAACTTTTTATTTTCCTCTTTTGCTAATTGGACAAATTGGCCCTTCTTGGTTAAATTATAAAGAGAAGTTAATTATCCTTGTGCAGAAATCAGAAAATCATACAAAAGGAAGGAAGACACCAAAACTAGGAGAATGTCTTTATTTTATGATAGAATTCATTACAAGAAAAATTATCTTTCAAAATGATAAATCAAACGCTCCATTTTTCAATTGTGTCTGTTACGAACGAACAAAAGTGGTTGATATATGTATGTTGGTCCACTCCATAATTTTTTTTTCTTTTTCTTTTTTTATTAGGTTAATGGTAGAGTTGAAAATGGAAATAGTAAAAATTATTTTCATATTATCAGAAAGGGCAAGAATAAGCTTAAGAAAAAAGTTTTCTTATATATATAAACAAGAAAAAAAAAAGTTGAAAATGGAAATAGTAAAAATTATTTTCATATTATCAGAAAGGGCAAGAATAAGCTTAAGAAAAAAGTTTTCTTATATATATAAACAAGAAAAAAAAAATCTTGGTGGTTATATAGGTGGGAGGAATATTGAGATTGCATCGTTAAGCATTTTAATTTGATTGATTGAAAAAAATAAAAAGGAGATTTAATTTTGATTATTTATATTAATTTTCTATTTAAATCTAAATTTTATTGGATAAAATAAGAAATTATATTATATATTATTTGGTTCCACTTTTTTATAACTGAAACTAACTGAAACTAGTAGTTTGAAATGAAATCATATAATATGATATTAAATAATTAAGGTATGTAATGTGTATATTAAATATGGTGAGACACAAATATAATATGGTAATATGTTATAATATGGTAATACTATTGCATGGTAGTATATACATATATGGTAATAAAATATAATATTGTAACACTATTTGACCAATATTAAATAGGTATATACTAAATATGGTAAGAATATAATATCTTTAAGAATTTGAATTTTATTGGTTTAAAATATAAAGGTAATTTAATTTTGATTGATTATTATTTTTGATTGATATTATTGTTTATTGTATAAGGTTACATATTAATAAGATAAGGATATATTATATTTTAATTATATTTTTAATAAATATTTATTTGATTTGTCATTAATTATTTCCTTACAAGTAAACTTATTCTTTATGAAATTTTATTATTATTATTTATCTTTTAGGAAGAAATCAAACTTAAAATTTTATTAATAGGAAAAAATCATATACAGATATGAAATATTAGATTAATATTGTTTTATATTTTTGTAAAGTAAGTCCAAATAATAAACCACTCTACAAAAAAAAAAAAAAAAAAAAAAAAAAAAAAAAAACCACAATTTTTGATTTTAAGTAACCAAAAAAAAAAAAAAAAAAAAAAAAACCACAATTTTGATTTTAAGTAACCGATCAAGTTGACAGAGCATAATATATGTGCCATAGGGGATCGCTCACTATACTTGGTGGCTATTAGTTACCATTGTTCGACTCCATAGTCTTTCTACAAGTTTAATATGATTATCTTCAAATTTTTTACTTCTATCAAAAAGGAGATCTTCACTTCTTTCTGCATAACTGCCCAAATAATAAACTACCATAAATAAAATCACCATAATGGTGATAACAAAAATCAGAAACTATCAAACGGCTAGATCTGAGAACAAAATCCCAAAATATCGACAATAATAATCCCAATATATGGGCAATACTAACTTAGATCTGTATCAAAAGACATAAATTTAGGATTTTTCGAAAAAGAAAATACAAAAAAGACAAGGGGTGAGCATCGATGCCCGCCCATGAAAAAAGAAAATTGAAATTTAATACATTCTATTCACCTGAGGACTATCAAACGCTTAAATGACCATTTGTGTTAGTTTCGGTCGGTCCATGATAGTCCTTTCTCCTTGCTATAAGCATAAGTTGTCCTAAATCAACTATTTGTGAATTCCTCAAGGTTCAATTCTTCATAAACCTTAAGCTCTAACCATTGTAATTACAAGTAATCAGTGTTTGGTTCTATTCATCGTTACTTGGTCCTGTAGGTGACCATGCCTCTGAGTGTAGACCATCTCATCATACCGATCACTTGCAAAATGATCAAGAGAAGTAATTTCTAGATCAATCTTAACAAAGTCGTCATTACATGTCCATTCTGCTACGAGAGTCTCTAATTAGTTGATACTATTATGTGGGTCTGCCATAACGTCTTGCATGTCCGTGCTTTGTGTTTCTTTTAAATTGGCCGAAAGACTTTTTCAAGTATCTCAGCACAAATGATATGGTAGCCAATTGTATCTGTTCTAAGGATTTAGTCTTCAATTGGATCATGAAATTGTCCGATTCTAAATATACTAGGTTTTCAATCAATTTCATCAGCATCTCAATATCTTAATAAAATTCTAGCAAGACTCATCGAGTGTACTGGAATAACTGTTTGGTACAAAATGATTATAGATCTGTTGGACTTGTGTCTATCAGGAATGTCTTGTAGTAGATGGACAAACGGATCGGGGTTGTTTAGTTCGAATAGAAGGGGATGAAAATAAGAAGAATTGAAGAGGGTAAAAAACAAAGATGAGAGGGACAAAAGATAAATATAAGAAATTACATGATTGAAAAAGAGAATGGGATATAAGGCGATTTAAATGCGCGAGACAATTTGGTTTGTTTATATAAATTCACGTCATTTACAATATTGGTTTCCCCTATTTATGGGGTACTAAGGTGTCCTCCAAGCAAGGTGCACCTTGTAGAAAATTTACACAAAAGTCCAAAAATGTCCTATATATTTACAATTTATAGGTCCAAATGAATCTCTTAGCACTATTCTAACTATATAATACCATTTTCCAAATTCTGCTAATTCGGGCCTTTTATTTTGACTTGGTTTTTTGGACCACCGTCAACAATGCTGCTATTCTTTTTGACAATTTGGACCACCGTCAACAATGCTGCTATTCTTTTTGACAATTCTAATGTTGCCCTCATTCCCTATATATATTATGTATGATAATATAGAAAATGAATTATACCCTAGTGATCATCTTACAGCTTAATAGTAACCGCTATCAAAATTTTATCAAACACTAATATTGATATGCTAACTGCTATCAATTATCAGCCACCAGTCATCGATAATTGTTATTAGTTATCAATTGGTATAAAC